TATAACAATGAAAGTGTGTATTTGTTCCCCATAAAAATGATGATCGAATCCAGGAACGTGTGTGCCAAGATACACGAAGGGTCGCACACATTTTTTCCTTTATATTTTCAGTTCATTACCTAGTCGTTACGTGGAATTTTTAAGAGTAAAATAATCGCTTTTTTAAAACGAGACCGAGAGTGTATTTCCCTACCTATTTATCTTGCCCTAGCATACCCAGCAAACAATTGATAGGGCAAATGCATCCATTATGAAGCACATATTGACGGTCGTTTTCGGGGTTAGATTCGTGTGTAGTTTCAGTCATTTCCATAGGTTTGGCATGGTGGAACATTCAGGTGTGAAAACATGGAAAAAGGGAAAGACAACCATTAATATCAGTTGAACTGGGTATAAAATACTTTTTTTAAATTAAAAACTTTACTCACCTACGGGCACTCCCCCTCCGTACAATGTTGTACTATTGTACAACTAGACCACAAGACTTTATATAGTCTGTTCATGTCTAGCTACGCTAACTATAATAGTTAAAATATTTTATTTTATGTAATTTTTTGAATGTATGATTAATTGATGATGTTTGTTAGTTGACATTGTTGTTTTGGTCCGGCGGTCTTAACAATGAAACTGGCAATGGTACATCAAAGATCCGGCAAAGTCCTATGTAATTTAAAGCAAATACATTAAATAATGAATATTCTGTTTCCAATTGATTCATACCTTTGAGCATAATGCATTTTGCTGCAACAATATCTCGGTGCCAAGTAACTGTTTGTGGAACAACATCATCATCATCAACATTTAATGGCCAATTTTTGTAGGTAACTTTAACCTTTGACATTAAACGCCCAGTCCGAAGTTTTTCGTTCACAGCCTCACGATTGCCATCGATAATTTGTCGCTTAATAATTGCACGTTTTCTTCTCAAAACACGTCTGTTGACCGTTGACACAATGATATCTGGCAGTCCAGCGACTGAATCTGGCAGGCCATCAATCTTTTTCGCTCTACAATCGTAGCACACTTTAAATCGATCATCTTTTGTGTGCCTTGGAAAACGTTCCTGACAATTCGCGCATGTTTGTGATGTTCCCCATTCATCTTGCATTTCAACTTCTGAATGTCCAAGTTTCTTAATGCTCACACGAAACTTACGCGATCCCGGACATCTTTTACGCTTTTTTATTCCAAACGGTCGATCGGGTTTCATCGCCCAAGCACCAAATTGAACCAACGACGGTTTGTTGTTTGTCACACGCACGGCGATTTGATCATTTACTCTGGTCGAGCGAATGTGATGGTCTAAATCCAGTCGTGCATATTCACGCGTCGCATAAGCTGCCATTCCTTTTCGTAACATTTTAATGCGATATTCAATGTATGATTTCCATGTTGAATTACGTGGTGATGGTGGACGATATGGGTATGTTTTGAGATGTTCCTTCTCTTCGATATCAAACCATCCAGCCAACTTTTTCGCTTCTTTGTCTCGTTTTTTCTGCTGAGTTTCCCAATGAAAACGCTGGTTTGGTATTATAATGTTTTCCTTCAAAATGCAAAATGATACAAAAAACTATGAGTTTCTATTCAAAACCATTTCAAATTACATTTCAAAATATCTTACCTCAACAGCCGGCTCATCAGGTGTTTTTTGAATGTTGCGACGCACTACAGTTAACCACGATTTTTCATTCGGATCGATTCCAATGATGTATTTCTTGCCAATGAGTTTTTCCGGCCCCCGATTCGCTTGGGTTGTTTGCTGTGGTCGTTGTTGTCGCTGTGGTCGTTGTTGTCGCTGTGGTTTCTTGTACATTATGGATATTGAAACACTATCGGTCAAAATCTGATGATGGAATGGTTTCGATTTGCCCAATTTATTTATTTTACCGACATCGAACAACATATTCCATAGACCTGATCGATCAGTTTGGGTGTAGTACTTTAAATTTCTCTTATTCATCCGGTTGGTCTGCGTATTGAGAAAAGAAGGCACCAAATCAAGCTCGTTTACAATTTTATAATACAAGTCCTTAATGTCCAATCGCACGTTTTTCAAATGGTAGTCGCATAATGGTATAAGAGCAAAACTGCTTATTTTTGGTGGTCGATTGATTGTTGGCTCTTGAAAGTTCGGATTGTTGCGAAACATTTCATGAATGGTATTCCATTGTTCGGCATGACTGTGATACACTTCTATTTGCCGTTGCATTTGACCGAACAACCACAGTGATTCAAACCAACGATATTTTGCGAAAAATTTCATACTCACTGTTCCCGACCATCCAATTTCAGTCAAATCTCTCATTAAAATATTGAATTTTTCAACGCGTTGTGGATCCACATTATTACCATTTGTTAAATTCTTAAATCGATATGAAAACTCTTTGGCATTTCTGATGTCGATGTTATCAAATCTTGAGCCATTGTGGAATCGATTGCGATACCAACAACGCATTCGAAAAAAATTCTCAAGTCGTTTTTCACACCATGTGTTGGTATTGGTTTGAATGTTTGTGATATATTGTTTATAAAAATATCTCAAACCATTTCCCAACTTTTCATCATCTGGCCATCGGAACTGTTCTTCACTATTTCTTTCTACCATGAAACGAAACTCGGGCAATATCCGATATTGACTATTGATATTGTTAACGTGTTGGTTTAATACCGCTCTGAAACAATCGGCAATGAACAGGCTTGGATGTGGTTTCAAAAAAAATGCACGATCGTCATTATCAAGTGCTTCATTCAAAATAAAAAGAATAGAAAGTGATGCCAATGCTGCCACTTCTGTCATTTGAACACTGCGCTCGAATAGCATTTTGGTCACAACTTCTCCAACTCTTTCAATCCGTTCATGTTGTTGTCGCAGGATTGTTTGAAGTCCACATTTTATTACAACGTATTTGCTTTCTTCTGGTTGATTATCATCGAGCTCGTCGTCATCCATGTCTTTTTCTGTTCATTATCATTAATAAAAAATAGACACAAATTTAGAAAAAAAATGCAACAAAAATAGCATAGATTACGAATAAAATGAGATCACAATTTAAATGACAATCACTTATATCACAATTCAAATTAATCACTTCTTACCTCAACGATGTCACTCTGTATTCTGATTCAAATGATGAAATGTTTTCCAATATTCCGCAGATGAAAATTTTGTTGGGATATTCACCGTCAATTTTATGAATGCTTTCTTATTTTGAAATAACAACAGAGACAATCTCAAAACCAACAGTGAATTTATCCGTTTAACATCGAACAAACAAAATCATTGGAACAAATGTTAGCCAAAAATGACGACAAACAAAATGTTTCATACTCTAATATAAACACTCACACATAATTCTCAAGAATTCCTTTTACAAGCAAAGCACAATTTGTTACAAACAAAAAATGAGAACACACTCATATCACAATTCAAATGAATAACTTCTTATACTATATAACGCTGTGTCCTGATTAAAACGATGAAAATGTTTTTTTTTTATTTTGAAATGAAAACAAAGACTGTCACAAAACGGACTGTGAATCTTTCCATTTGACATCGAGTGACTTCTACAGTTACGTTCCAAACACACCAAACCGTTGCTAAAATGACGATAAACAAAAAATGAATCTCATGTACAAGAATTCCATTTATTAATCACTGAATTTTGTTTTTTTTTTTTTTTTTTTT